CCTGGAGCAGCCAGCAACTGGAGCAGCCGCCCCTGGAGCAGCCCGCACCTGCAGCGGCCGCCCCTGGAGCAGCCCGCACCTGCAGCCCGTCCCGTTCCCCCCCCCCCCCGTGCATTCCGTGGTGCTGGGGGTGTGGGGTGCCGAGCACGGGGGTGGCGGGTGTGGGGGTGGTGGTTATGTGTTCCTCCCCTTGCTCCTCCTCCTCCCTCGTCTCCCACTGCTGCAGCTGTCGCTGAGGGGGGTGGGTGTGTGGGAGCCTAGGGTTTAGGGTTTAAGGGGGGTGCTGTGGGAGTGGAGCTAGAGTTTGGACAGGGGGTGTGTGAGAGGGGAGTGGGGCAGCTGGGGGAGGTTGTGTGAAGGTAGTTGTCGTGTCGCCTGCAGCGCCTGTAGTCCGTCGCCCTTGCTTCGGTAGCCAGTGAGCCTGTTGCACCAGTCGCCAGTGGGTCCGTTGCTCCTGCCGCTCGTCTATAGCCGCGGAGCCAGTCACTCCAGTAGTCCGTCGCCCTTGCTTCGGTAGCCACTGAGTCAGCCGCTCCTGTGCCCGTGCCTCTGCAGCTTCAGTCGTTGCCTCGCATCTTCTCTCCCTCCACAGTCTCTCCTCCTCCTCACTTGCCCTCTGTGATAGCTTCTAGCTTTGCTTATCATTGTGAACTCTTGCTCTATGCCTGCATGCTGTACTGATTATACCCCACTTTGACTATGGGGGTGTGTCAGATTATAATGCTTGTCTAGTCTGTGGTACTCAAAAGTGAGTATAACCCTTTTGGGCTTGCTACTTGTATCCCCCTCCTTTCTAGTTCAACCACTTCTTCTCCTATTTCTCTTTCATATACCCTAAAACCTAGCCATGGCTTCTTAGCCTTAGCTCCTATCTTAACACGAAACTGTTGCATGAACTCGTTGAACTCGACCTGTTCCATGTTTCGCAGGCTTCTCCTAACGGGCAGCGGGTTAACAACGATTTTTCTGACTTTGATGAAGGCGCAAACGCTATTAGTCGGAGCGAGATAATCGTATCTGTCTCTCAGCCGACCGCTTTGCACCCCTGCACTAAAACTACCCCGGAAAGTGGAGGGTAACCTAGGAAAGTAGGCTCTGATACCAAGTGTTATGAGTTGTACGAAAGAAGAGTGCGCAGTATTCAATAACGCGGAAATGATTACAACTACTGAGCAAACAACGAGGCCTGAGCATAATACAACAAAGCTAGCTAGGCCGAGGTCGCGGAGTCGCGCGAAGGTTGGGTGCAGGTTTGGGTTTGGGAAACCCGAAGGCGACGCGGAGGACGTTCGGAAGGCGAGGTCGACGGACCGAGCCTGAACTCAGAAAGATGGAATTGTACGCATAAGGAGTGCCTCAGTAAGGAATTAGCAAAATTCCTTACAATTCTGGCAAAGTCATTCGTAGCATTGTAACATCTTCTTCGTCTCCAAGTATCGTGACGAATACGTTACGCATTGTCTATATACTTAATCCAGTGACATACATAGTTTGTGTGTGACTCAAGCACCACTTTATAAGCTCAAACTTTGATAGTCGACCATTGTTGGGGCAATATGTTTGACGTGAAATGCGATAATGCACATCGACAATCAAAAGTCGTGATATTTGACTATAGGTAGACCAATGCTAATTTGTTAGAACCTCAAAAAGAACATGTACTTGATATATTGCGTCGAAGGAAAGAATTGTCAGAATTTAGGCAAATGCGTCAGAACGTGTCGCGTCATAATTCGTCAATCAATTTTTACATGGCTGTGAAAGTCATGAATCAGGGCCATTTTAAGCGAGGCTGTCTTCAAGTTACCGTTCGCGTGATTTACTCTTGTCTAGGCAACTTCACACTTATTAGACACACACCCTGGGGGTACACACCCTGGGGGTACACACCCTGGCTACAATAGAGGTATGGGGTGTGCTGTTATAGAGAACAAGGCGTATTTTGTCACTGTCTAGTTACCAAACGCTTGAAGCCTTATTTGTGTTACCATTTGCATATCCATTTTGCATGGGCGAAACGTTTCGCGAGATGTCGCTTGAGATGTTTTTCGCCTCAATTTTCGCTTTTGCATCTCGACTTGCAGGGCGCCAATGCATTGCGTCCGATCACGGAAACGAGGGTGGAGGGTGTTCAGGTGGGATGGGGAAGTGGCTCGCATTACACCAGAGTCACGACGAATTCCAGCTGTATGTCCCTTGGGCAGCCGGTTGTCATGTGTGGAGATGGTTGCACTAGGCCAGCCAAAACACTGCAAGAGTTACATGGAGGGGAGATGAGGGTGATGGAGAAACACGAAAGATGCCGAAACCAGTCCGTTCTGAAGAAGTTTACAGTTTCTCGAAGTATCCCATAGAGCTCGGAGGCTACCAAGGCCTGCTCCTGAAGAGGGGTGTCGACTGGTTTTGGACACCCGGATCATCTGATGATCGGTATCAAATGCCCTGAATTTATAAGCTTCAGAATGGTCGTCTTGGTTCTTTAAATTAACACAGAGCCGGTTTTCCAGAGCCTCTTGCCATCCACTCATGGTCGATACCCTTGCTTAATAGGTTGATGCTTCTCCCACGCAGAAAATAGTTATAGAGAAAGAAATGAAAACCCTTGCCTCTATGGAGTCCTACTACAGCAGTAAAAACCCTTGCCTAAGTCACCTATGTTACGCCACAGTCCTTCCCACCTTTTCCTTCCAGCCGACCACTTAACCGAGGTTGAGGTTCATTTTTCTTGACTTTCGGATGTGAATGAAGAGAGTGTGGCATTTTGGAATCTGGGAAGAACAACTGGCGCTAGAGCTAGAAAAATTTCCGGAAAATCAAAATTCCGCCTTCATGGGAAACCTCAGAGCGGTTATCGTGCAACCCATCAATTCAAGCCAGGTCACGGAACCAGCCCTCAATTTCCAGGGCAAAAACGGCAAATGCATGGAAGCGACAACCCAGCCCGTCCGTGGGGGGCCTGACGTCAACGTCGATGTCCCAGACATACTCGACCGTCGGTTGAGGCATGATTCCTTTCTGGAATTGAAGTAGTGCAACGACGAGCTAAACCCGCCTGAAGTGCACAATGACCCTAAGCGAGAATGAGGGGGCGGTCAATGTGAAGATGACTCTATGTGAGAATGAGGGGGCGGTCTATGTGACGATGACTCTATGTGAGAAATGAGGGGGCGGTGTATGTGCGAGAATGAAGGTGCGGTCTATATGACAGCAGCGTTGGCGCAAATTGGACCGAACAAATCGATGAGGGCGTGCTAATATCAGATTCTCGCTTTTCTATTCAGTCTGAACAATTTTCCGGAGGTTGGGCGGTTGTCGGTGAATTTGATATAATTCGGTATTTACTACTGACGCTACAGGTACCAGTCACAGGAATAACCACGCCGTTCAGTTTCTCTCCCGATTCTTAGGGTACCGACGCGGAGGAGGAAAAAGCATCGAATGCAGTCGCACCAGCTCGAACCTCCCCGCAGTGCGCGCTTACTGCGTTCTAAAGCGCGCGTCGCAAATACTTCCCCTCATCGCCGTGGTTGGCGGGTGCGCGGCGCTCGCTCAGGGCGCCGTGCTGCGCTCAATCATCCAGACTCCCCTCCTCATCCTCCCCCCCCTCCCTCTCCCCTCTCTCCTCCCGCCCCCCACCATGCCCCCCCCTCTCCCTGTAGGCATTGAAGGCGGCGGGTGGAGTGGTGAACGCGAGACGGAGGAGAGGGGTGATGGCGAGGGGCGGTGGCGGGGGGGTGGTTGGGCGACTGGCTGTGATGGGCGTGGTGGCGGTGATGGCGATGGTGGGGAGCGACGAGGGCCTCACGAAGGGCGGTTGGGCGCAGCGCTGCTTCTGGCGCAGCAGCGTCTGCAGCCGTGGCTTCCTCCCCATCATGATGGCGCACGCTGCTCCCCTTGACCCCACCCAGTGTGAGCGTGTGATTGCGGGAGTGTGGGAGAGTGCGCGCGCGTGTGTGTGTGTGTGTGTGTGTGTGTGTGTGTGTGTGTGTGTGTTTGTGTGTGTGAGTGTGTGCGCTGCAGTGCACCCAAGGCAGCATGACGCCTTGCCGTCCCATGCACGTGCCGTTCACATCACATAATCGTCACCTCATGGCGCAACCTCTTTCCGTCCCATCATGTGATGGAATTGCAGCACAAGCCTCCCTCGTTTCTCGCATCTCACTGCCCTTCCTCTGCCCGCCCCCGTTGCTGCGCTGAACCCCGTTGCTGCCCCTCACCTGGTGATGCTTCTCCCTGTGCACCCCATTGCACCCATTGCTGCGCCCAGGGCGGGTGCGAGTGTGTGTGGGCGCATGTGGGTGTATGTGGGGTGTGGGTGTGTGTGTGTGTGGTGGTGTGGGCGCGGGGTGGGTGTGAGTGTGTTTGGGTGTATGTTGGTGTATGTGTATGTTGGTGTATGTGTATGTGGGTGTGTCAGTGTGTGTGTGGGTGTGAGTGTGTGTGTGTGTGTGTGTGGTGTGTCAGTGTGTCTGTGTGTAAGTTTGTGTGTGAGCGTGAGTGTGTTTGTATGGTGTGGGTGTGGGTGTGAGTGTGTGGATGTGAATGCGAGTGTGTGTGCGTGTGTGTGTGTGAGTGTGTTTGGGTGTGAGTGTGTGTGTATGGGTTTGAATGTGTGTGTGTGAGTGTGGGTGTGTGTGCGTGTGGGCGTGAGTGTATGGGCGTGTGTGTGCGTGTGTGTGACTGTGTGACTCTGTGTGTGTGTGTGTGTGTGTGTGTGTGTGTGTGTGTGTGTGTGTGTCACGTGTCGTGCAGTGCACCCAATGCATCACACGCAGACGCCGCTCACATAATCATTGTCAGCGCATGGCTTGGCTTTACAGTGACCCTTTCCTCAGGAATCGCAGCACAAGCGTCCCTCATCCCTCGCATCTCACTGCCCTTTCCTCTTCCGCACCCCCATTGCTGCGCTGCACCCATTGCTGCGCTGCACCCATTGCTGCGCTGCACCCATTGGTGCGCTGCACCCATTGCTGCGCTGCACCCATTGGTGCACGGCACAGGGCCAGCACTGCGAGACATGAAGGCGCAGTGGAGCAGTGCGATTCCCGAGTACACCAACAGTTGGGTGGAGGGCGCAGAGTGCAGGACCATACGCGGCATCGCTTGCGACGCAGATGGCTACGTGACGAGATTGTGAGTGTGAGACACTCACCTGCAGTGCCTTTGTCTGTTATGTTACTTGATAGGTTCTGCGTGATGTTTCCTTGGCAATTTCAGATTGTTGCGCTTTTGACCGTTTTTCTTACCCATTTTCGAGTACTTTCGGCGACCATTCGTGGGTTTCCCCAGCAACACGCACATGGTCAGATGCGCCTCAATCCTTTTAAGTAGGCATTTAATGTCCGGAGCAGGGTGAGTGCTGTAGCGAAGACTTGTATTCTGCAGTGTTGCAAATATGACGATAAGCTAAGTGACCGCGAACTAACGCGCTTGGAATTTTGAACGCTGATTTAGGAACGTTGTCAATGGAACATAAACCGCGCACACCTGCCTGGGTCAAACGCTGGAAAAACATTTTCCCAGGCAGTCGAGTTTTCCCTGGGCAGGGGAAACTAACTATACTTTGGGGTAGGCTTTGGCCAGGGTCGAACCTGACCTTATTTCCAGGCCAAACCTGGTTCGGCCGAGGTTTGGGTCGAACCTCTGCAGGCCCGGGTTCAGCTCGTTCGAATACATTTCTCAGTGACAAACATGTAGGTGGAGCTCGGAAATGAACTTCAGCGATTTATCGATGGTGGTTGAAATGAAACGTATATAGTCCCTCCTGAAATCGGGAACAAGGATCCTGGGCGGCCATAAGGATCCTGGGCGGCCATAAGGATCCTGGGCGGCCATAAGGATCCTGGGCGGCCATAAGGATCCTGGGCGGCCATAAGGATCCTGGGCGGCCACGGGATTTTGCGCCAGGCCGCGGCTTGGGGTGAACTGGCCTGGCTCATTCAACCCAGCAGCAACATATGAACCACGCTGGCTGGTTTACCGAGCCGAACTTGATTCAGCCTGACCTGAGCCGCCAACGAAATAGGGCCAGAATTGAACCGGTTCGACCCGGGCTGAATGAGGTTCGTCAGTGCGCTCATGCCTACTCTTGCTCAGGGGTGCAGTGTGGTGGGTTGGTGTGCTTGGTCAGTGGTTGAGTTTAATCAACACGGGAGGGGTGAAGTTGGATGAGCTGCTTTCGGGGGTCAAGGTGATGTGATGATGAACCCCAGAATCTGCTCGTCGAGATTTTGGGAGATAGCACAATCGGGTGCAAAGTGGGTTTTCTGTCGAATATCCTGATTGACAAGTGCAATTGAAAGCGTGCCGTGACTGGGTGGTGGGGCATTTGCCAGAGACTGTCTCTGCAGGGTGGTGCTGAAAAAGAGTCACGGCTGCAGTGCGCATGCATTTCATGAGTTGTGCGAAGGAATCATGGCTTCAACGTAGGTACCTTGCAGTGCAGGCGTACTGCTTTGATCATTGTGCCCTCGTTTTGTCTGCAGTCCTGACCCACAATGACCTTTCCCTTCCTTTGTGTGTCTACTGTGGCCGATGGATACACCACACCATTGACTGTGCAGACAGTTACGCAGCAGTTATCTGGAGGGCACTTTTCCTCAACGCATCACCGACTTAACCAGACTAGTCTACCTGTACGTACTCCCTCTGCACCTTTAGCTATCCTTCTGCCCCCATTCCCTCTCCCCCTCCTCCTCACCCCCTCCCTCCCCCCCTCTCCCCCCGTCTCCCCCTCCAACTTCACGTTCTCCTTCCCTCCCTTTCCATCTCTGTATCCTCTCTCTCCCAGTCCCCATGGCCCCTTTCCTCTCACTCCTCCTTATCTCCCTTCCATACATTGCTTGACTTCTGTCACTTGAAGCAGCTCCTCAATTCCGTTCATTCTTCAGCTCCTCAATTCCGTTCGTTCATTCCTCTCACATTCTTCGTGCTCACTCTCTCCCTCCTCGCCCCTGCGCTCCCCTCCCTCCCTCCCTCCCTCCCCACCCCCGCCCCCTCTTCTACCCACACAGCTATTTAGACACGAACTTGCTCTCGGGCCCTCTCCCAGCCACTATATCCAAACTCGTGTCTTTAGTGGAATTGTGAGTGAGATGCCTCTCAAAATGGAATCTCTTCAAGCGAAGTAACAGGTTGACAGCTCCATATTGCGTGACAATAGGTGTTGACAGTCGGACTGTGAACCAGCATAAAAATAAGTTTGACTCGAACTGAACCTGACGAGGCAATTTGACAAGGTTCCAAGCAAACCAGTTTGTTTCTAAATTTGCTTATTGGGAATCAGAAGGACGAAACCAAAGACAATACAGAGAGTAACAAAATGAATTCGTGGAGGTGAGACCTGGACTTGAATGAGAAAATGGTCTGTGTCCCTAATATGGAGTGGGGATGATGTCTATTCATGACGCATTTCTATCTAGTTTGTGATTGCCAGTATTTTTGAATTGGAATCGCATTCAATGCAGCACACCTGTTTGGCCAAATTCGTATTTAGGCGTGACTCACGAACACCTAAAGAAAGCTGATCGTAGTTGACTTATATTCAACTGCACAGGCTTACCTTGGCTGCTCTTGCATACCTTGCACCCCCTTGCGTGCATTGCCCCACCCCACCGTACAGTGACGCCTGTTACAACTAGATCAGTGGGCCCCTACCTGAGGGCATCTGCGCTCTCAAGCAGAGCAGACAGGCTTACCTTCCATCCCCATGCATGCGTTGCCTTGCCCCCACCACACAGAGGCGCCTATTCCAACCAGCTCAGTGGGCCCCTGCCTGAGGGCATCGGCGCTCTCACTGCCCTGGAGAAATTGTAACGCCCTCCCCTCCTCGCACGCCTTTCGACTCCTCCCACCCTTTCTCTTTTCCCTTCCAGTAACGAGTTTCTCGCGCACTGCTTCGTCCGTCCTTGATCGATTCTGCCACTGCACGTTGTCCTCTTTGAATTCAGTTAGTTGTATTTCAACCGGTTGGAAGGGCCCCTCCCCACACCTTTCACCCAGCTGACTTTTGAGTCGACTCAAAAGTCAACTCTGCATGCTGTCCTCTTTGAATTCAGATATTTGTATTCTAACCAGTTGGAAGGGCCCCTCCCCACATCCTTCACCCAGCTGACCGCTCTAACCGCTTGGTAAGACCAGCGCTGTCATCCACGGCACGGCACATATGCCTGTGCCAGCCAGAAGCATACGTCACACGTTCTTAAAGTGTTTGATACCAACCATTTTAAAGGGTTGCTGTGTGTGTGTGTGTGTGTGCGCGCGCGCGCGCGCGCGTGTGTGTGTGTGCGTGTGTGTGTGTTAGTTTGTGTGTGTGCGCACATATTTCTGTGTGAGAAAAGAAGTTTGTGCGTACCTGTGATCTAAGCACGCCCTCTATTGTCCTTCCTCAGTCTTTATCCTTCTTCCCCACCATCCTCCAACTCTTGAGCGGTCCTTAGTATTGACGCTCAATACTTACATACAGGTTAAGCAGATAGAAACAGTATTAACACTGTTAGTCGTACAAGGGCCCTCCTACAGTGAACTGAGCAACAACCGTCTCACGGGATCTCTACCAGAAGAGATTGGAAGCATCTCCAATCTGGTAAACCTGTACGTTCTCCTCATCTCCCCACTCAACACACCCTCCTCATTCCTTGTGCCCCCCCTTTCCCTTACACTCTATAGCCGCTCTTATCTGCCCGCAGCCCGCCTAGTGTGTTGGACCACCAGCCAACCCACGCACACCCTTCTCCCCCCTCATCTCCTGCTCCTCCCTAAACCCACAAGAACGTACCTCTATATCTACGTCTGTTCCTGCTGTCCCGTCCCTGGTGGTAACCTGGACATCCATTTCTGCCATTCCTCTTGCGCCTACTATCGCACGAGTTTTTTGTCTTTTAAATCAACCCTCGGCCATCTTTGCTCCGTGCATTGTTGCTGTCCTCGCATCGCATCACATCACATCACATCACATCACATCACATCACATCACATCACATCACATCACATCACGTCACGTCACATCACGTCACGTCACATCACATCACATCACATCACATCACATCCCATCCCATCCCATCCCATCCCATCCCATCCCATCCCATCCCATCCCATCCCATCCATCCCATCCCATTTCATCCCATCCCATCCCATCCCATCTCATCCCATCCCATTCCATCGCATCACATCCCATCACCCCAGGCGTGCCAACGATAACCTCATATCAGGCCCCCTGCCTACCTCTCTAAGAGCCATGACTTCTCTCGCCAACCTGTGAGGCTTTCAATTCTACATTTGCTTGTATCATCCATGCACGCACAAGTACTCCACTACCAAGCTGGGTGTACACTTTGTAGATAGAGTTTAATACTCGAACCTAAGTTCAGTTCCATTGATTCGGTAAGAACCCAACCAAACCAAACTTATTATTCTGTCCATAGTTTCTACTCTAACGAACTGCAGTTCTAGTCCGTTCGGGTCTGCAGGAGGAGGCGGTGCTTCATTTATAGGTTGGCTTTGGTGCTTGGGTGACCCTAGACTCGCGTGACCATAGACTTTATCATTATTCTGTGTGTGATTAATTCCACATTACATTCTGTGGCTTTCATGTGTATGCTTGTTCGGATCTTCATATCTGCTTGTTTATATGATTGACATGTTAGCTTTCGCTTTTCTCGTTCCACCACATCCTCTATTACAGGTTTCTGGAAACAAAACCCTAGAAATGACCTCGAAATGTATGCCTCGATAATGGAAGTAGCAATCAAACGGAACCAAACCAGTTCGAGTCGAATACCCCCATGTTTTGGAACCAATACTTCAAAAGTCTGACAATGCAGGTCACACTACTAACTCCACAGTCACCAGTCTCGGTTCACGTCAAACCAAGCCGTTCAGTCTGATAAAAATCGGTTTGACACGGTTCAAACTTTGGTACTCGCACGGCCATGTCCACTTGTATTGGGCTGGGCCTGCATACTTTGCTTTGCAGAGAGTACATCGGCGAGATTTACACCAGGGTGCCAGCCCAGTCCGACAGTGCTTGAGCAAGTACCGAACCCAAACCCGTTTGAACCGGTTCAAAAGGAATTTGGTAGGAAAGCGGATCCAGTTGCGTTCATTGAACCCAGATTTAGTTCGTTTCGAGTCAATCCTTAACAGGTTCGGCTCGACCCTCAAGTTCGCCTCGATCAGGCAGTTCGTTATGGTCACATCTATAATCTATTCTATTTCTATTCCCCTGCTTTGCCGTGCCCCCGCCGACGCCCTTAGACACCTCTCGGTTGGCGTTAGGAAAAGGTTCCAGGCTTACAATTGGGGTATAGGGAGGATACACCCAGTTTAAACTCAATATCTCATGGTTCAACACAACGCATACTCCCTTGCTGCTGTGTACCATCCATGCCCCTCCTCCCCCGCTCCTCTCTCCCCCCCCACCTCCCCCCCCAGTGCCACTGGCACTGCCTATCGTGCCTTGCCAAGCCATCCTGCGAGCGGGTCCATCTGTCCTCCCTCCAACCCAACTGCACCACTGGCATGCGCCTGCCCTTCCTCCTCATCCGCCTTGTTTGTATCCTGCCTTTGACCACTCCACTTCTCCCCAACCCTCCACTGCCCCCCCCCCTCTCCTTGCTGCACTTTCCCTTGCCGTGCATGGCAGGGAGATGCAGAACAACAACCTGAGTGGGCCCTTTCCTTCCCAACTGGCAACTGTTAGATCACTTATCAATCTGTGAGCCCCCTGGGGCAGGATGGATGGAGGGAGCTTTGGCATGTGCTGTCGGGTGTGGTGTGGCCTATAGGGTCCGGGGTGTGGATTATTGAGTATCAGTGCTGTTATCAACACGGATCATGGTGCATGGGGGCATTAGGGCATGCCAGAGTAGCTTTAAGACCGAGCCCAAAGCTCTCAGTATGGATGGACCATCAAACTGCATACTGTAGGCACTGGCATACTGGCACTGACATACTGGCACTAGCATACTGGCACTGGCATACTGGCACTGGCATACTATGTGGTTGACCTGTGTGTTACCAAAACGGTCAAGGCGCGTGAAACCTGATGAGAGCGCTTCGATGTTCTCGCCTCCCCTCCCACATCCTGCATAAATGCGTACTCACATCTCCTTTCCCCTGTAACCCACATGTCAGCCAGCTGTCTCCTCCCTTCTTTCGCCCAACAACACCCTCTCCCCCCTCCCTCCTCCCCTCCCCCAGTCGGTTGCAGAACAACGCATTCAGTGGCCCCCTTCCGGACCAGTGGGCAACTACCAAGATTATGGAGCTGTTCGTGATTTATTCTCTTCCTCTTCTTCTTGTTCTTTCTTTCTAGGCAGCGTGGCTTGAGCTCAGAAAAATTCTGCTGCTTGGGATGGTCACTGGAGCATCCAGCGTATGAACGCCAGTGTTTATACTCTGCAGTACAATGCGCTAAGCGTGTATATATGTTTACTTGGCATACCGGCTCAGCTTGTTATGGCTCGGCTTGGCTCGGTATGGTGGCTCAGGAGAGGAGTGGCCTCATCTCTTTCCCGAGAGGAGTGGTCCGGACTGGACCCGAACTGAACCAGCTCGCCTTCGTGCTGATGCCTCCGCCACACTCTTCTAGCTCCACACCTCTTGGCACAGGCAACCCCCACTCAGTTAGCTTGTCACTCGATAAACTTGCCCAGCCGTATAGAATTTTTGCAGGCTCCGTTTCTTTTTCTTCGGCTTTATGAACTTGCTGGCTCTTTGAACGCTTTAGAATGTTGCCAGCTCCTAAGAAAGCCATGCTAAAGTAATCTCACGGATCTTGACGACCCTTTGTAGCCAGCGCATTTCCGCACAAACATCTGAGCAGCGAAATTGTGACCCTGATACCTTGTTGCCAATTTTTGCAAGTTGGTAAGCACCTCAAACCCCGTGCCTCTATCCCCTTCCCCATGTTGCTGTGCTGTGCCATCCCTCCCGCAGTGATATCAGTCAGAATCAGCTGTCTGGCACGATTCCCTTAGCGATTGGAGGCCTCTTCCAGCTGCGCACATTGTGAGTCAGCTCACCCAAGTACTGCCTCCCCTGTGCAATTCCATGCCATGCCATGCCATCCCATGCCATCCCATGCCATCCCATGCCATGCCATGCCATGCCATGCCATGCCATGCCATGCCATGCCATCCCATGCCATGCCATGCCATCCCATGCCATGCCATGCCATGCCATGCCATGCCATGCCATCCCATGCCATGCCATGCCATGCCATGCCATGCCATGCCATGCCATGCCATGCCATGCCATCCCATGCCATGCCATGCCATCCCATGCCATGCCATGCCATGCCATGCCATGCCATGCCATGCCATGCCATGCCATCCCATGCCATGCCATGGCATGGCATGCCATGCCATCCCATGCCATGCCATGCCATGCCATGCCATGCCATGCCATCCCATGCCATGCCATGCCATGCCATGCCATGCCATGCCATGCCATGCCATCCCATGCCATGCCATGCCATCCCATGCCATGCCATGCCATGCCATGCCATGCCATGCCATGCCATGCCATCCCATGCCATGCCATGCCATGCCATGCCATGTCATGCCATGCCATGCCATGCCATGGCATGCCATGGATCTCTGCCGTGCCATGCCTCACTGGAATGCCCGTACATGCCTGCCTGCACCATCCCGGCTGTGCTGCGCTCCTCACACACCCACCCCACTGCTGCATCCTGCGCCCAAACCAAACCAAACCATGTGTTCCATATGCATCCATGTCTGCATGCTGTCTCCGAATCTCTCTCGCCCTCCTCTTCCCCCCCCCCCCACAAAAAAAACGATTCATTTTTAGCGCATTCAATCAAACCAGAACTGGTTAAACCAGAACCAACCTGCTTAGTTGAACCCGTTTGTGAGCATGCCAGTTGTTGCTCTTGAATCAACCTCTACGGAACGAGTTGGTGCTGGTTTGGTTCGACCGTATACATGGGCTTGGGCCTTTTCCTAGTCCATAATGGTGAAACTCGACTTAAGGCACACTGCCTTCCCCGAACAACCGCCACCTGTGTCACTTGAGTTGAGAATCATGCTAGTGCCAGATCCAAGTGAGAGAGTGAGGGATCCCGAACGAACCGCACCCGCGTTGAGACGGTTGAACCGGTTCGAGTCGATCCCAAACCTCTTTGACTCAAACCAGCGAGGCAAAAAAGGAAAACTACGGTTCTTGGCAAACCGGTTTGGTTCAAACCAGATCGCGGTATTCTTTTTTGCTCATGCCTAATTCCGTTTGATCAGCTGTTCAGTTACCACCTACTGCAAGCAAACAACAATCCCTCGTCCCTGCATTCCCTATCTGCATCCCTCTCTGCATCTCACTTTATCCCCATCCCTCTCTGCATCTCACTTGTTCCTTCGCTTCCATCTCATCTCCCACTCATTGCTCCTTAACCACATTCCATCTCTAATAATCAGCTGACTGCTCAATCTTCTTGGTCTCCCTGTGGCATTCATCTCTTCCCCCAGTGACCTCAATCACAACCAGCTGTCTGGCACGATACCGGACGATATCACAGGCTTGGTCTACCTCACACTGCTGTAAGACCCACACTGCTGTGAGGCTCATACCTAGAGTGTCCACTCTGGTAGCCCCTTTCCCTCTCCAAGACCTGCGTCTCACGACGCTGTTCCACATGTGCATGCTCTGCTGCCATGAGTTGAAGCATCATGCACGTGATGACTTGCACCGCTGCCTGCTCGCTTGCCTGGCCAGTACTCTGTTGCTCGCGTGCCATTGTGTGCGATGTGAACCCTGCTCCCAGCCTTTTCCACCTCGGTATCAGACCTTCCTTGAGTTTACACCTTGCCCAGGCTTGCTCCTTTGCCCCGTTGCATCTTCTTTGTTTCCGTGTGAACCACTCTTGATTTTGTTGCATGATTTTGGTCTGTGAATTTCCACCTTTCTTTTCCCTGCAACATTCAGGGACCTGAGCTCAAACCGTCTTAGTGGCACCATACCCCAAGGACTTGCGACTCGTAACAGTCTGGAAGTTCTGTAAGCCTCCCCATACACCCCTAACTCAGCTGTTCCATCATCCTTCCAACGCTCTAATATGTTTCTTCACTCTTTGTACTCCCAAGCTCCAGCCACACAGATAAGAGTGTCTGCTCTTCTTTATATACTCTCCCCCATTGGGTACCATTCTCCATCCTCTCACCTCTCTCCACAGCAACCTGAGGGACAATCTGCTCACAGGGAAGGTCCTCGAGCCCGTGCCACCTAACCTGTGGATCTACAAGCTGGACAACAACTACTTGAGTGAGGGGTTTTCCTCCCCCCCTCCATGCGAGCAAGGCTACATCACATACCACAGCAACTGTGCAGACGTGCCAGCAGAGGGCCTTGCCTGTGCCGCGGACGAGACTCAGCGGGCTGAGGACGTGTGCGCTGCCTTCTGCGGTGTCTCTTCCACTTCACCCGCCTGCAACGGCCATGGCGTGTGCTTCTTGGACGGCCCCAGCAACACGCCCACATGCCTCTGTGACGACAACTTCGTGATTGGGGAGTTTCCTGGCAGCTGCGTGCCCGTGGCAGGTGAGCCACTCACAGTCACCTCTGCACCTCTGCAGGGGAGTTTCCAATGCCACGGTTTGTGCTGTTTGCAATGCCACGGTTTGTGCTGTTCTGCACTTGCTCTGATATGCATGTTTTGTACAATACTCCTAGCAAGCATTCGACTTTTTTGTGATTGCCTTTCCCGACTGCCTTTTGGGTTACGGCTCAGTGCCCCCTGTGTGATTACGTGTTCTGCACTCGCTCTGCAACCGTCTCTGATTCTGTGTGCCCCACATTCAGGTGGTAAGACGGAGCAGCAGCAGACTCCCACAGCAGCCACGCTCACAGCCACTGGAGACGCCTCAGTGGATGCTGCAACAGCCACGCTCACTCTCACGCCCGCCCAGCCGTCCAAGGCTGGCAGTGTGTTCCTGGCAGCGCGCGTGCCGCTCTTCTCCTACCAGCTCATCGGGGACTCCTGCGGCCGCCAGCTCGCCTTCTCCTCCTCCTTCTCCTTCACTCTCACCCGCCCTGCTGCCTCTGGCTCCGAAGGCTTTGCCTTTGTGGTGGCCTTTGATGCCACCCCGCCCACAACACCGGTGGCGGGCGGCATGGGGTATGCGGGGATGGGAGCGCGCAGCGTGGCAGTGGAGTTTGACACGTCGATGGATGCGGGCAACAGCGACCCTGACAGCAACCACGTGGGCATCAACACCGGCGGCAATGCCACGTCGGTGGTCACAGCCAAGCCTAGCACCCCTCTCAATGACGGCACGCCCAAGCACGTGTGGATCGACTACGACCCTTCCTCCAGTGGCTCCCTGCGCGTCTTCCTCTCCTCCCAGGCGTCCCCTCGCCCCACCACCCCCCTCCTGTCGGCACGCATCTCCCTGTGTGAGGAGCTCGCCCCCTCCCCATCGGAGTACACCTTTGCCATCGGCTTCACAGCTGCCTCCGCCACCCAGGCTCAAAGCCATGTCGTCTCCGCCTGGACCCTCTCTACAAGTGAGTGCACGTCTGCGTCCTTCGTCGTATTCGGTTAAATATGAAATGTTATGACCAATGGCATTGACTACAGCCCTAGCTTGCGCACTGTTTGACATTTTTTTCTCTAATACCCTTTTACCTTCTTCTTGTGTGTGCAGATTTTCCCATACAGCCAACTCCAGGTATGACATAGTGCCACAGTGCCCTTCTTGCTTTGTTCCTTTGACACAAGCAAACTGGAGTTGCGTTCTTGAGCCCATTTTCAGGTGCTCAGTATATGTTTCCTAAAAAGTCATTGTCGTATCTTAGCTTTACCCTATCCTGGATCGCAGTTGCAGCGCGGGGCTTTACCTTCAGCGAGGCGGCGCTCTCTCTGTCGGGGATGAATCTCTTCTTCCGCTATGCCAGCTCGGGCAGTGTTGCTGCTGAGGGTGGCAATGACGTGTATGGCGTGCGCCCTGCCACTTCATGGGTCGGTCCAAACTTCAAATGGCCTGTCAGGACACAGAGCGCTTGCGGTGAGTATCCTAGACCCCGGCTATAATACCACCATCACACCACACGTGTAGTTGGACCTTGTTTTGTGGTACAGATAGTTCTTTTTGGAGTTTGTTGTAGGTGTAACTGATTTTCTCCAGGTGAGCCAAGACAGCTCAGCATGAGCTGGGCCCAAGGTTCAAAAATACAGTTTTCGTATTTTACGGCCAGTTTTTTATGGTCCGTTGTTTAAGTAATAATAAAATAAAAAAAGAACAAAAAAAAACGGCGTTTTTCTGTTAGAGAACTGTTGTCACCAAGAAAAAAAAGGGAAAAACAAGGCCGGATACATGTTCAATCATGCCCACAAGTGCACGCATGCAAGGAGAGGTTCGTCCTCTTCATCCTGGTACCTTCCGCCATCAATTTGGTCCCGCACATCGGCCGGTTTTTTTCCAAACAAATTACACCTTCTGGAACCGTTTTACGGTACAGTTTCAATAATACAGTCTTATTTTTTAATCCGGGCAGGGCCGTCGAAGATATAACGAAACACTAGAACGTTAATATGATCATAGAGGATGCAAATGCGTACCGAGCTTGTGAATGGCATAAGGAGGTTATTATCAACCAGGAATAATAAGGGTGTGTAGCATTTGTCACCTTCACCCCTCCGGACAGGTTACCACGATTTAATGGTTTCTAGTATTGCCATTTCTCGGATGATGTTTCGTTGAAACATACGCGACATCGTTTAAACTCGGACCGTCGATAGAACGTTTTTTTCAGATATTTGCTCTCCCAAATCTTCCAGACAAGTGCCATTCGAGAAACGGACGGTGTAACAGTTATGCGGCCTGGTGGCGCATGAATACTCGTTTGAAATCTCAGGAAGTAGGAAAATGTCTAAAAAACAACGTCCCAACTTATGTTGGAGTATACGCTCAAACCCTAAAGTGTATAACGTATATATGCCGTATATACGCAAAACGCTATATGCTAGCAAATAGGCTACATGTAGGGAGAACGTGTAGCCTAGTAGTTTTTTTGTAAGGAATCATGCATAGTAGTTTTATTTGTAAGGGATCATGCATAGTAGTTTTTTCTGTTAAGTCTATGCAATCAAGAATGTGTGTGAGTCACATATTACACTGAGAGATGTGGTAACCTTAGGTTGAAACTTCAAACAAGGATAGGATATTGTAAGGTGCATTGCCTCAAACGACCCATTGAGTTGACTTGGCTCTTACCTCAGTATTTGCTGCCAAGCAGTGTCGGAGAAACAGCTCTGCCTGCCATCTGCCTTCATTCTGATTCTCTTCCTCTCTGAAGCTTCTTGTGTTGCCTCAGCCACTCCCATGAAAGAGACAAAGCTCCCACCCCAAGGGTCCTCCCTGAGTGGTGTGTCACCTAGCCAAAGGATGAAGGTAACAACGATCCACTATACGAAAGGATAACAAGAGAAAAGCAACGAGTGAGTGTGTGTTAGTGAATTTACATGTCCCTGGCTCGAAGCGTGCATTTCTCAATGTGCGCCTCGAGCCTGGGTTGGTTCGTTCACATTGGTTCCTTGGATTTCACCCCTCGGAGCTCTCCTACCAACTTCGCGGCACTCTCCCTGGTCCCCAACTACCTACACCCCAAATGTTCATATTCGGTAATGCTACACCCCACACTACACCGCAACATAACTGGCACCTTATATTCACAACCGTGCATATTCGGTGACAGCTGTCGGAGAAACAGCTCTGCCTGCCATCTGCCTTCATTCTGATTCTCTTCCTCTCTGAAGCTTCTTGTGTTGCCTCAGCCACTCCCTGCCCCCTCCTGTGCCCGTGCTTGAGCAGCTTGAGCGCGGGTCACAGGACCATGATCTCATAACTTAGGCTTAGAAGCGATACATTAGTAATGAGCTTGAAGCTCTTTAAGTACATCCAAGAAGGGGAGGGAATGGATGGGGAAGGGAATCGGGGGCAATCCATAGGGATTGGGGGTAATTCCAAGGCAATCTCCAATTGGTGGGTTGGAGATTGCTTGGAGATTACATTTGGGTTTGGTTGGGATGTAGGTGTACACCCAACCAAACACAATGTGCAAACTACACTACTCTAGGATATAGAAAATACAAAGTACAAAGTGTGAGATTGAAGGCTAACACTAACACCCCCCCATAGGCGTCAATCGAACTCATGGTAGAGAGGGTGGTACACAGAGCCCCATGGCGCCTAGGAGACGGTGGTGGGGAACTTTCCCAAGGGGCTTGGTGAACAGATCAGCCAGGTTGCAGTCAGATGCAACGTATTCCATTTTCAGCTGCTCCTGTTGGACAAGGTCACGGATGAAGAAGTGCCGAAGTTCAATATGCTTGGTGCGGGTGTGATACACAGGGTCTTGAGAGATGTGGATGGTACTCTGGTTGTCACACCAGAGGGTGGGGGCGAACTGTGGGAAACCAAGCTCCTGGAGTAGGAAGGTGAGCCAACGGGCCTCCGGAGCAGCCATGGTGCCTGCGTAGAGCTCTGCCTCACAGGAGGAGAGGGAGACTGCAGACGACCTGGTGGAGCGCCAACTGACAATTCCGCTCCCAAGGGTGAAGCAGTACCCCTGAGAGGAGCGTCGGTCGGTCTGGTCATCAGCCCAGGAGGAGTCGGTGTAACCTTCCAGGCGAGGAGGGGAGAGCCCACCGAGTGTGAGAACGTGAGACTTGGTGCCCTGAAGATAGCGCAGCACCCGCTTCGCCGCCTTCCAGTGAAGATCAGTGAAGCGTCCAGGGGCCACGTAGCGAGAGAGGACACTGACAGGATAGGCCAAGTCCGGTCGGGTGCACATCATGGCGTACATGAGGGACCCAACAAGCTCCGGGTATGGCTCAGAGCAGGCCTCTGGTGTGGGTATAGCTGGAGCAGTGAGGAGGTGTTGCAGCGGCAACGGGGTGGCAACAGGTGTGCACAGCTCCATCTCAAACCGCTTGAGCACATTGTCGATGTAGAACTCCTGGGAGAGTGAAATGGTGCGAGCCTGGCGATCACGAGTGATCTCCATCCCCAGGTAGTGCTTGAGGTCACCGAGGTCTTTCATCTGGAGAGCCTTGCTCAGGGCTGCCTGGACAGAGGTCATCTGGGCCGAGTCCTTGGCAACGAGGATGAAATCATCCACGTAGACCAGGATGTAGAATGGCTCAGAATGACGGCGGATGAAGAGAGTCGGGTCAGCAGTTGAAGGGTGGAAGTCCAGGGAGAGGAGGACTTCTTTCACCTTGTTGTGCCATTCGCGAGGGGCTTGCTTAAGGCCGTAGACGGGGCGATTCAGCTCCCAGACAGTGTTGGGAGGGAATTCTCCTGGGAAGCCTTCTGGTCTGTCCATGAACACCGTCTCCTTGAGACGTCCTTGTAGGAAGGCAGATGAGGCATCCATGGATTTGATCTCAAAGTCTTCTCGAGCTGCGACATCCATGAGCGTACGAATGGTGGGAGGTTTGGATGTGGGGGAGAAGGTTAGGAAGAAGTCGCGGTACTGCTGCTGGGTGAAGCCCTTGGCTACGTAACGCGCTTTGAACACCGGGGCCTCGTCTGGGAGCTGTTTTACACGGAACAACCACTTGCCCCCGACGATGTTGACTCCTGGAGGTGGTGTCTCGTCGTCGAAGGAGTGGTTGCGGGTGAATGCTGCAATCTCCGCTTCCATGGCAGCACGCCATTCGGCAGCATGAGGGCCTGAGAGAGCCTCTTGGACGGTGAGAGGGATAGGGATGGTCGGGTTCTCCGCGAAGTTGAGGGAGGGTGAGTCAGTGATGTCGGGGAAGATGTGCGAGAGCTGAGGAATGACTGCATGAAGATCACACAGCTCCTCATGCCTGTCTTCCAGAAGGGTAGAGGGCACATCCCCCCCAGCAGGAGGAGGCGGTCTGATCGCCGTGTATCGAAGAACCAGCGCTAGTGGAAGAGCCGCGCCATGCGAACGAGTGCCATGAGCCACCGGAGAAGAGGGTGGGGCAGGCGGTGTCGGAGGGGTTGACTTAGGAGGCTTGGGCGGGGGAATGGGCCGCCGGTGGTACGTGATCAGCTCGGGCGACTGTGGGAGAGCGGGTTCCTCTGTGGTGGGGGGAACCGGGGGAGGAGGTGGGGCCGGAGGGTGGGACCGCCGATGGTAGGTGATAGGTGCGCTCGGAGGTGGCTGCACAGTCGGCGGAGTGGGAAGTGAGGGGGATGGAGGAGCAGCTGCCGAAGACACCGGTGAGAGCGGGTCAGAGACCGCAGAGGGGGACGGTGCGGTGGCAGGAGGGGTAGGGGGTGAAGGGGCCGGAGCAGGCGAGAGGTCAGGAGGCGCATCAAAGTCTGCCCACACGAGGGAGGGTGGGTCAGGGAGAGGGTCCCGTCCCGAAGTGGAGTAGAATGGGCGGGTCTCATCAAAGACAACGTCGCGGCTCCGGACCAACTGCTGAGTGGAGGGATTGAGGAAGAGGTAGTCAGGCGAGTCCGCGTTGTGTCCGAGGTAGATGCATGTCTGGGTCTTGGGACCGAGCTTGCCGCCGTGCTGCCGTCGAGCCTGAGGGTTGAGGAGGACATAGGCGGTGCACCCCCAAACGCGAAGAGAGCGAGCAGTGGGCGTTTTCCCGAGCCAAAGTGTGGTTGGAGTGGTGTCGGGAAGATGCGGGTGGGGGTAAAGGTTGTAGAGGAGGGCGGCGTGGTAGAGAGCGTACCCCCAGAGAGAGTGTGGAGCGTTGGAGTGGCTGAGGAGGCACCGAGTGATCTGCACCAGGGTGTGGTTGCGGCTCTCAGCTATGCCGTTCTGCTGCGGGCTGTCAGGGAGGGTGAAGTTTTGCTGGATGCCTTCTGAAGAGCAGAAGGCTTTGAGCTTGTCGTTGCAAAACTCACCACCACCATCTGAGTGGAGGCGCTTGACTTTGCGGTCAAAGGCGGTCTGTGCCTGTTTAACCCACGCCATGAGGACCTCTGGAACCGCAGCCTTAGTGTGGAGGAGGTGAACAGAGACGTAGCGAGAGTGGTCATCGACGATAACAAGGAAGTAGCGATAACCACCT